ACATAGACTAAACATCCCTTAACCAATGTTTACTGAACTCACCAGATAATCAAAGTTTTCTCTCCCCTCTGAAAAACATACCGTCTGAGCAAAGGCTCTCAAACTTGAGTGGGCCTTGGAATTAACTGAAGCATTTGTTAAAACACAGATTGCCATCCTCTCCTACTACCCAAGAGTTCACAATTCAGTATGTCTGCAGTGAGACCCCAGAATTTACAGTCCTAACAAGCTCCCAGGTGACACTAATGCTGCTGGCCCAAAGACCCACTTTAGAGAACCACTATTCCACGGTACGCACCCGCTCACCTCTTTTCCTATCACCGAGCTGTCTGATTAACAAAGGTCAGGTTCCCAAACCTGTATACTCCAGTTGAAATTGTTTACTGTACTTACACTAGCTAATTATCACGTAAATGTACAAAAGGGATTCACTTTCAAGTTACCTGTTGAATTCGATGTGAAAATTCTGTGAAATATTGGGAGACAGTCATAAAAATCTTGGATTTTGTATTCAAAGTTCCTCCCAAGTATCTTTAATTTTTCAGTCCCACTAAAAGTAAAAATAGTAGGTGATGAACTGCATGGTGTTAAACCAAGGGCACAATGGACATGAGGAAATCTGGGAGTGATAGACATGTTCATCTTCTTGGTTGCGATGATCTTTTCTTGGATGCGTGTATGTGGGATAAAATATATTAATGTCTGCTACTTTAAAATGCAACAAAAGTTGGATGGATATTACAAAATCATGTATAATGAAATATTAACAGAATCTAAGTGGTGAGAAAATGGTATTTCATTGTACCATTCTTTTAACTCTTCTGTATTTTAGAAAACTGTCAGAAGATATTCGGGAAAAATTAGTTTATAACCTTTGACCAAAAAAAATCTGCTTATAAGATAGTAGTTATTATGTGACTCCATTTTTTGCTTATGTATGTTTGTGTGTGTGTTTACAGAAGTATATGTATGTATATGGGCATATCATTATGTATGTTGCATATTCATCTGTGCCCTCTTCACCAGATCTGTCCTTCCAATTCACTTAAAAATACTGTGTCTTTCCTATCCCCAAACAATACAAAACAAATAAAAAAGAAACCCCCTCAAATTCTCATCCCTCTCTTCAGCTACTACTAGGTCACTTTTATTCCCTTTCAAAGCCATTTATTAAAGAGATAAATACACGTTCTGTGTCCATGTCTTCACCTACTCCGTTATGGTTTGTGTCTGAAAGCTCCAGCAAAATGGCTCTTGTTCAGCATACCAATGATTTCTACATCACTAGAACAAATGGACATTTTTCAATTCTCATCCCCTGTAGAATGCAAAATATTAAATTCACCTACTTTTAAATTTGAAATGAGGGAAGGAAACTTTATTTGGTATGTAAAACAAGCTTAAAAAAAAGACTTCAATTTCATATCATGGCCAAATTAGAATATGAAAAGGGGGAAACTTAAGGGATGAAATCAAGAAAAAGGAAAAAAAAAGAAGAAAAGAAGATAAAACTATAGCTCAAAGAGTAAATGCCAATGGCCTATTTTCATTACCAATTAATTTTACTACATTTTGAAATCTTAGTTAGCACAGTAATCATTCACATTTCTTCAACTGGCTTAGTCATATCTAAAAAACTTTATCTATCTATAGAAGCTCTATCTTAAATGGGTCTTTCAAACCACCTATCTATGTAGAAATTATTCCCTGAGTTATAACAACAATAACCAGAGAACTAGGTCCCTAAGCATCAGACAAATCCGGCTGAGTATCAAAATTGGTACAGAAACCACTTCCTAATCTTCAGATGGGCTCCCTCAAAGACTTGCACAGCACACCGACAGCATGTACCACGGCATCTCCAGGTCCTTCAATGATTACAGTGTGTCAGGTGACACAAAATTCTGCAGTAAAATCAGTTCCTTTAAATACACTCCTATAAACTGCAAAATAAATTTCTTTGTAACATGGGCCTCAGAGATGAAAGACAGCCTTCAAATTTGAGACTAAAATGTGCACAAGAATTTGAATTCGAATTGTATTTAAGTTGCAGGATGGTGGTTCCGAAACAGATCACTTTTTGTATGTAGTACCCTCATGTTTCTTTCTTTTCTTTTTTTTTTTTTTTTTTTTTTTTGAGACAGAGTCTCGCTCTTTTGCCAGGCTGGAGTGCAGTGGCACAATCTTGGCTCACTACCACCTCTGCCTCCCAGGTTCAAGTGATTCTCCTGCCTTGGCCTCCCAAGTAGCTGGGATTACAGGCGTGCGCCACCACGCTGGCTAATTTTTGTATTTTTAGTAGAGATGGGGTTTCACCATGTTGGCCAGGATGGTCTCAATCTCTTGACCTTGTGATCTGCCGGCCTCAGCCTCCCAAAGTGCTGGGATTATAGGCGTGAGCCACCAAACCCAGTCTCATGTTTCTTATTTTGAAGTTGAACATGCATTGGCTAATCAAAGAATTGTGGTAACAAACATTCTACCACAGGCAAAAACAGTAAAAGTGTATGTGAAAATAGTTACAGCAGGGCTTTAATTAATTAATTAATTTTCCTCTAGTACTCATCTGTAACCTTGGTCACAGATGCTGTTACTGAAATACCACGGGTTCGGTCTAAGACCTGCTACTCACCATACAGACAGCCAATCACTGAGACAACACATATTGCCAACAAAAAACGCTTTAATCAGGCTCTGTAGCCAAGGATCAGTCTCAAATCCACATCCCTGACCAAAATTAGGAGTTTTTACAGCAGGGAACAAACATAACAATGTATGGGAAAACACGAACTTGGGAGGGCTAAGGAAGTAATCTGATGAATGAGAGGCCTGGTGTCTCACTGTCTGGACTCTATGATCTGGTGAGTTTCAGTTCTTTGATACTGTTTGAGAGGCCTGGGGGTCCTTTCCTGAAGAAGGAACTCAGATGAAACAAATATAAGTTTAAAGCTTTAGGACCAGAAGGGTCAATTTCTATGTTTATCCAAAAACAAACAAACAAACAAAAAACAAAACTGTCTGTGGGACTGTTGGGTCAGTTTCAATAGCAGTTTCTTGAAGGTTCCTTTCTTTATTCTTGCTGTCTATCCTCCACCTACAGGCCGGCGTGCTAAATGATTGTGGAATAAATGAAAAGCAAATTCATTTATTCCACAAACAATCATTTAGGACATCCAATGTGCAGGTCTAAACTATCCCAGACTTGAAGGAACATAAAGTAGGGTTAATGGTAATACAATTATTGAAAGACTTTATTTTAGCCTAGCTTTTCACACCAGACCTTTACACACAGTAGCATTATTTGGCTATTTTTTTTCTTTTATTTTTCCTTATTCCATCATTGGTGTCTGAAATTTGGCTATTTATAAAGGTTAAATTTAGTTTTTCACTTACCTTTGAGTTCCAATAACTAATGGACGTAATATGAAGAAGAAAATAGGTTAAACTCAATAAGAAAGGAAGCAGCATAACTTAATCACAAACTAGGCACACACTCCTGAAAATCTGAAGTGATTGTTTAGTATAAAATCTAGATTCAGGCCAGGCGCAGTGGCTCACACCTGTAATTCCAGCACTTTGGGAGGCTGAGGCAGGTGGATCACGAGGTCAGGAGATCGAGACCATCCTGACTAACACAGTGAAACCCCGCCTCTACTAAAAATACAAAAAATTAGCCGGGCATGGTGGCGGGCACCTGTAGTCCCAGCTACTGGGGAGGCTGAGGCAGGAGAATGGCGTGAACCCAGGAGGCGGAGCTTGCAGTGAGCCCAGATCACGCCACTGCACTCCAGTCTGGACGATAGGGCAAGACTCCGTATCCAAAAAAAAAATCTAGATTCAAAACTCTGTTCTTTTTGGATCACAAACCTCTTTGAAAATCTAACGAAAGCTAAAGACCCTGTAGTAGGCAGCTTCTGACAGGACTTCCAATAATACCCACCTCTTTGTATTCCCAGTTCTGTTTAATCTCCTTCCCTTGAGTTCTGGCTGGACCTAGCAACTTGCTTGTAATGAAGAGAATATGACAAAAGTGAGAGATGTCTCTTCCGTTATTACATCACCAAAGACCATGACTTCTGTCTTACTAGTGCTATCTCTTGCCCTCCAACTTGCTCTCCTTTTTTGAAGCAAGCTACCTTGTGTGAGATGCTCCATGAAGAGACCCATGTGGCAAGGAAGCAAAGGAGGCCTCCAGCCAATAGCTCACAAGAAACTGAGGCCAAGAACCCAACAAGGAACTGAATCCTGCCAACAAACAGGTGGGCTAGGAAGTGAATCTTCCCCAGTCACCTTGAGATGACTGCAGCCCTGTGACAGGCAAAGCTGGAGGACTAGGCTAGGCAGCAGCTGGATTCCCGACCCACAGAAACTGTGAGACAATACATGAATATTGTTTTAAGCTGTTAAATGTTGGCATAATTTGTTATACAGAAACAGATAACTACAACAAATCGCCTCTTTAGGAACATATGTGTGTGTACAAATTCTAGTATACATTTTAGGGAATTTGGAAGTCTCTCTAAAGTTCACAAACAGAACTCCTAGTGACCCAGGGATTCCAGATTAAGAAACTTCTAACATGATAAACTTCAAACAATACGCACAAGAGGCCTATAGGAACAATTTAACCATGCTAAGAGGCATAACAAACATTAGAATGCTTTCCTTCCATAAAGTATTAAGAAAGTTAAATGACTTCCAATATACTGATATCTTAGTACCAGTATTATCAAAGGTAAAATCAAACCAAGTGGTACCAAAACATTATTTTTGAATACAATATTTCATAGGTACTGAAGAATGGTAAAATAACTGAGACACTGTCCTCAACTTTGAGGACTTCACTATCTAGTTGGTGAGACAAACACAAACATACACACGCACACACAAAATAGCTACCATAACAGCAGTAAAAATAGAGATTTACAGATAGTATCCGCTCATGTACACAGTAAAGTGACTTTACTGAATTTTAATTATAACATAATTAAAATAAATACCTGTACTGTTTTTCCAAGTCCCATGTCATCACCAAGAATGCACCCTCTTCCATGGATGTAATGTCCATAAAGAAACTGGGCTCCTTCTCTTTGGTAGTCTCTCAAATACCTATTGACGGTATAAGGAATAGAGTCTCCATCGTCAGATAATTTAAAAGCAACAGAAGATGATGGAAATTTTCGGTTTGGGAAATAAGGTTTTTCCAAATCTTCATCATCAAATATAAGATTCCTAGGGCAATCTTTAACAAATTTTACTTCTTGAAGCTGTTTAAGAGGTATTTTCCTTTCTTGAAAATCTGAATATAAGACAACTGCAAATGACTTGCCATTTTCATCCACTGTGACAGATTTTATGCTTGCTTCACGAAGTTTTCCATTATCTGGAGAAGGGGCAAGACATCTTTCTCCTGGATGCCATATGTCTGCAATAATAAAGAAAATAAAGTTTCCAAAGCTAGCTTATAAAGTAACACCTCATTTATCCACAGCTATGAGAAAAAATACATACCTCACATAAATGCCTTTTCCAAAAAACTGGAACAAGATAAATTATAACATGTATAGATGTTTTTCTAAAATATATTTTCAGATATTCTCCTATAATAAACAGAATAAAGGGTACATACTTTATTTCCAGTGGCTCCTATCCTGGCTGTGTGTCATCATCTTCCCTGGAGTTTAAAAATGTACACTCTTAGACACCACCTCTGGTGATTCTTACTCAGTAGATGGGGGTCATGGGCATCTGGTTTTATTGTTTTGTTTGGTTGTTATTGTTGAATTCAAAAGATAATTCTGATGCACAGCCAGGGTTGAGAACCACCGACTAAAATATTCTTGCTGACTCATGAACATATATATACATATATTTCATGATATGGTAGAGTAATCGTGAATAGGACTTGGTAATGAGTAAACTAAAATCCTCTGGGCAGCAATGCTTTGTGGTTCATCTGTCCGCTTTTTTACAGTTATTCCATTGCCTTTCTCTAGAAACAGCTGTTTCTTTTCACTGCAATACTGCTGCTTCTAAACCTTTCCTTTAACCACTGCTTGTATACAGCTAACCACAGGAACCTCCCATTCCACTACAGTGATGTCCCAGCTTTTTCTCTTCTGGGTTTTGAATAATTATTTGAAGAGATGAATTCTAAGATCTCTTTTTGCTAAGAGTATTACCTCTCTCTCCATGAACTTATTCTGAGATTAACTGTACAGCTATCTATTTTATTTTCTCAGAAAATATACCACTATGAATGAGGAGGAGGTCTACAGAGTATACTACCGATACAATTAAAAAGTATCAAAAAAAACTAAGTAAAAATAATTTTCCAAATGGAATCTTATGGCAAGAATCCAAAAATAATTCTATGGCCACAAATATAAGAATACTAGGAATTATTTTTCTTATACATTTCTCACTGAGATCAGATAACCACTGGCAGTTTCCTGGGGTCTTCCTGATGACCTCGAGTTAGATTTTTATAACACTCAAGATTACAACATGACATGTTTATACTATCTAAAGCAAGAATAGTTCATTATGTTCCTCATCCATCAGCTGTTCTTCAAAAGTAAAGCCACTAACTTTGATGAGGTTATTTTACCATAACAATAATGAGTACACAGGGAAAAACGTTCTCTCCCACTCTAATCTCTGGACCCAAACTGTTGACAACTGTTACACCATTCTAAAAGAGTGTTTTAATGTCAAACTAAAGCCTTGATCCACTGTACAAGCAAAACAACATATAGGTCAATGGGCCCTATTTTCATAACAGTACTATTTGCACCTTAAAACCTAAAGCAACCCTTATACAATTCTTAACCCATTACTTACTTTTCCCATTATGTGTTTGCCTACCCTATCATTTTTTAAGACTCATTTCATTATCAATTATTCAACACACGTGATTTAAGCACAAATTATTTACCAAATATTATACCACATAATGGGTATAAAATGAAGAAAACTAATGTCAAAAATGATGGTGACTAATAGTTTTCCTGCATCTCATTAATTGGCATCATCATCTAACCAACTTTTCAAGGTAGAAAACCATTAGTTAGCCCTTAAACCTCATGTAATATTACTCCTTACATCCAGTCTGTCAGAATGGCCTGGTTTTACTTCAAAAATGAATCACTCTCCTCCATGCCACCATCTCACTAAAGCAAAGGCTGGCAAACATTTTCTGTAGGGTCAGTTATTAGCTATTCGTTACTTTAGATTTTGTAGGCCATACATTCTCTTGCCCTTGTAATGCAAAAGCAACCAGACAATATATAAACAAATGGGCAGAGCTGTATTCCAATAAAACTTTATTTACAAAAAGAAATGTCAGACCAGTCTTAGCTCACAGACAGTAGTTTGCTGACCTCTGTCTTAAAGCATGCCACCATCAACTCTCCCTAAATTATGCCTAACCAGGCTCTCTGCTCCCAGTCCACCTATTTAGAGTAGGGTACCCCATTATTCTCTATCTCATCATTTTATTGCCTCTGTAGCACTTACCATAACATTTAATTATCATGTCCACTTGTTTCTGTCTTTTTCTTCCACTAGAGAGTAATTTCCTTCCCAAGAAAAAGTTTGTACTGTTATAAATTTTATCCCCAGGACCAACACAGAGTCACACAGCAGACATTCAATGAACATGTGAATTTATTACACAATCTTTTTCTTTTTTTTTTTTTTAGACAAGAGTCTCTCTGTTGCCCAGTCCGGAGTGTCATGGCACAATCATACTTCACTGTAAACTCCAACTCCTGAGCTCAGCCATCCTCCTGCCTCAGCCTCCTGAGTAGCTGGGACTACAGGTGTGCACCAACATGCCTGGCTAAAATTTTTATTTTTAGTAGAGACAGGGTCTCGTTTACGTTGCCCAGGCTGGACTTAAAACTATCCTCCAGCCTCAGCTTCCCCAAAGTACTGGGATTACAGGTGTGAGCCACAGCGCCTGGCCTATTACAAATTATCGATCTCACAGATCCTTGGTTATCTTGCGAGAGAGAAAACTAAAAAGTACATAAACATATACATAACTGTAAAAAGTGCATTGGAAGAAAAATGCTATGAGAAGGGAGTATTGAGAAATGTAATTTAAAAGGGAAAGGGGTCTAAGAACTGTATTTCAAATAAGTGTACAGCAAGCGCAAAAAAAAAAAAGCCTTAAGGGAATCACATAACTTGTTGGAGTATTTTTGGTTTCTGAGTTTGGGTAATTTCTAGAACGAAAAAAATTCATTTAAGTTTGAGTTAGAAATGGAATCTCTCAATATCCAAACTACAGAACAACTGCTTAAATTGTGAGGATTTCCTGTTGGATTTAACAGGGTTAAGTCTCCTATAATTTAATGAGTCGAAATCATTTGTTTTGGTTTAAACTAATTATCAATTCAATTCATTCTGGTGATGGGGTCTCTCTCTCCCTCTTTCACTCCAATGGCCTCCTCGCTATTCCTCAAGCATGTTCCCACCTCGGGGCCCTGGAGCTTTCTGCTCCTTCCACCAATAAATACCAGAGTGACCAGATCTATCAGAAGGAATGAACGTCCCAGTCACCATAATCTCCACTTGGCAGCTTCATCTATTTATTTTTAGCTGCCAGTCTCCTATAGGTATTTATATGTGTGGCCCCTGAATTACAGCGTCATCAATTCCTAGACCTCAGAATTCAGGCTTGTAACTTGCCCTCTCTGAACTTTAGCTCTGAATTCATCTAGTTAATGAGATTGATATCTTCCTCAAAAGAAAGCAAGTAGTTAAACAATCAGCATATTGCTGGGCTCAGGAAAATCACTCAATACCTGGTAGCTTTTGTTATACAGCACAATTATTAATGAAAGCTATTCATTTGGGTGCCAGAAGGCATCCCAGATGACTTGTGGTAGATTATCACACCTTCTTTAAACCACCTATTTAAGGCAGGATATAATGCCCTGACTCAATAGGCAATAAACCTCCACTGAACTAAATATCTCAACCTTCATTTACCTACTTACAACAAACTTCTGCCATTCACTAACAACTGGGCATACAACGATAAAGAATGAAAATGACGTTTACTGAGTGCTTAATATGGGCCAGACGCGGGGTCACATAAATGCTTTGCGTATTGTCCACGTCATTTAAAAATCACAAGAACCTAGTAATGAACCCAGTTTTACAAATGAGGAACCTGCCCAAAGTTGCTCAGCAAGTAACTGTCAGAGGCAGCACTAGATCCCAGGGGCTGACCCCCGAGTCCAGGTTCTCAACACTGAGTCGGAGATTTGCTCCGAGGCCTGCAGGGGGTTCACAATCTGCAGCTGTCACTGAAGACGATCTACAGGGCAAACCCCAACCCGAAGGGCACCGGCGAGAACTGGTCCAACGCGACGCAGCAGACAGGCCTCTGGGTAAGGGGCGAGCGCGGAGCTGGTACCTTTGCCCGCGGTTTCCGCGCAGGGCTGTGGCGCCGAGGGATCCATCCGGCCAGGGGGAGGGGCCGAGCCCGGCTGCACGTAACACCCGGAAGGCGGAGGACAGCGAGGTGGCTGGCCAGTGGGCCAATGGCGGCCAACGCCACTTCCGGTCGCCCTCCGAGCATCGCTCTCCGGCAACCCGAAGCCGCGGGAAGGAGGAGGGGGATCCCAGCTAAGGCAGCGACTAAGGGGACCCGAGGAGAACGGGAGGGCGACGTCCGGAGCGGCGGCAGAGCCACGGGACGCTGTGTGAGGCTGGCAAGGCGGTGTTCACCTAGTTCTTTCGGGCTCCGCCGCCGCCGGTGGAGAACACGAGGCCAGCATTGCGACCCCCAAATCTCCTCCTCAGGATCTGACCTCAGTCTCCTAACCCCGCAACTTCCATCCCGGCCTTGGAAAATCCCGCGAGAACGGGCTGCCGAATTGTCACTGGGATATCGCGAGAACGCAATCTTCCTTTCCGTGGGCGGAGCCATCTTCCCGATGTCTCGCCCCAGGAGGCCTGCAGCAGGAAGGGCCGCGGGAGTTGCGAGTGTCGCGAGGTTTGAGGTCGCTGGGTGGGCCGGGCGCTGAGCGACGCTGGTCATAACTGGTGGGCTTGGGAAGGCAGTGGCTGTGAAGGGCCCCTGAGGCGGTGGAGGCCTGGCAGAGGGCGTCCCGGCGGTCGCGGCTCTCGGCTTCTCGGTGGAGCTTGGTTCGTCCGTGGTGGTGCCGCACCCCAGGAACTTCCAGGAGCCAGTCCCTCCTTGGAGAGCTCCCCGGGACACCCACAGGTGCCAAGTGAAACTAGCGCGTTTTCTTGGATCCTGCACTTTGTAGTGAATCATAAATACTTTAAATACAAAGCCAACAACATTTGCTGGGAATAAACGTAAAAATACTGTTAAAGTGTAAAGTTTTCCTCCGTCCCTCTGACGTTTCTGGCGGGTCGCTGAACGCGAGAGACTCGGCCGTCTGCTCTGAGCCCGGAGCATCTGAGGCAGCCGCGCCCACCCGCGAGGTGCATGAGGTACACGGCCCCTGACGCTCCCAGGCAGCGCAGACAGACGGATCCTTAGTGGCTCCCGCGCTTGTTACCGTTTGCATACTGTAAGGTATTTCATGGATTGAGTGAAATACCTGACGGGGCCTGTATCCGTTCCCTATTGCCACAATAACCAATGACCACAAACTTTGTAGCTTGAAACAGCACAAATGTATCATCTTGCATTTATTGTCTCGCGGTTCTGTAGGTCAGAAGTACTACTGGGTGTCACCCTAGCTGCACTCCTTTCTGGAGACTCCACAGGACCATCCTTAGCTTGCCTTCGCCAGCTTCTGTCAACATTTCGTTGCCTTTGGCCCCTTCCTGCATCTTCAAAGCCAGTGACGTGCCATCTCCGACCCTTCCATCCTCAAGTCTACCGCTGATGGCAGCTGGAAAAGATTCTGAGGGCTCACCTGAGCAATCCAGAATCATCTTCCCATTTCCAGGCCTCTGCCCTTGATCACATCAGCGGAATCCTTTTGCCATGTAAGCTAATATATTCACGAATTCCAGAGATTAGGAAATAAACATCTTTGGGGGATCATTATTCTGCCTACAGTAGTGTCTTAAGAAAACAATATGGCTGTTTGCTCTGCAAATAGATCTCAATTCTTTGGCAGATACTAAAAACTAGTAGTATGTGTTCATAAAATGCTTCATTTAAAATATAACTTGTTTGCTTACCAGCAGGTAGTAACTTTAAGCCTAAGTGAAACATCTAACTCAGCCATCTCTGTGTGAGATGTTGGCCAGGTCACTTCTCTGTGTCTTATTGTCCTCACCGATCACTGTAACAGTGAGACTAATAATAGTAAACTACCTAAAAAGGGTAATTGTAAAAAATAGGATAAGTAAAACTCCTAAAACAGTGACTGGTCATAGTAAGGAATATATGTGTTGTTATTACTGTTATTATCAATGGAATGCATCTACTCGAAAGTTGCATTCTACATAGACATTATGTCAGTTTAATATTTTGGCTAATAGGCCGGGCACGGTGGCTCATGCCTGTAATCCCAGCACTCTGGGAGGCCGAGGTGAGCAGATCACGAGGTCAAGAGATCGAGACCATCCTGGCCAACATGGTGAAACCCCGTCTCTACTAAAAATACAAGAATTAGCTGGGCATGTGATGGCACGTGCCTGTAGTCCCAGCTACTCGGGAGGCTGAGGCAGCAGAATCGCTTGAACCTGGGAGGCGGAGGTTGCAGTGAGCCAAGTTTGCACCACTGCACTCCAATCTGGCGACACAGCAAAAAACACTACTGATTATAATTGTAATTCTTGATTCTAACATACACCCTGATATTGGAAATCTTAAAATCTAGAAAAATCTGCTTCTTGTTATTGATGGATTGTATCTCTTTTCACATTGTTTCTAAAATCAAAATGCAAATTGACATTTTAATCAAGCTTATTTTTTTCCCCTACAACTACCAGGGAAGAAGTTTGATTTTTTTTCCCTCTCTGAAATGACTAGTTGTGTAATTTTGTCTTATTTTTCCAGAGGTCCATTGAGTTAAGATGTAGCTCTTGACAGAGCTGACCTCTAATTAGAAGGGATAAGCAAATTCAGAAATAAATTTTGGTTTAAATGGAAGGTATCATCTGGTTGAAGGAATACCCTTGTGACTAACAAAAGAGGAGGATACCTCATTTTCTGAATGTTTATTATTTAACCTCACTGCTGTACTTACAATGTATACTGAAGCAGAAATAATCATGACATGAAAATATGTCCTAGTGAACTAGTTGCCTCATAAAACTAGATATCCTCAAATATTCCTTCCCCCACCTAACAGTAGCTTTTGTCTCTGCATTGACATCCTTGTGTAGGTGCTGATATTGTGAACATCTACCACTGTCAGTCCAGTCACTTCAAAGTTAAATTGAATATCTTGTAAAATATTACGGAATTCCTGTAGTTAATATGTGTGATGTTAGATAAATCACATAAATGAACTGAATCACATACAAAACTTTTGGCAAAGGAGGATCTAGCAAAAATTAAGCCAATTATAACTACAGAAGAGAAAAAAAACACAGATGGTGATAACACAGCCATTTCAAAAGAGGCTCATGGAAGGAAGGTTAAACCCACCAGTAATTTGCCAAAAAATAGTCTCTCTTTATCTTCATACTACAGGAGTCAAATATGTATCTGTATGTGGTTGACAGCTCTCCAGAATTGTGAGTTAATGTAGCAAAAAGGCTCCAGGAAAAATAGATGTGAAACTCTTAAGACAACGCGAGAAATTAAGTCTTTGAGTTTCAGTTAGATGATTTTAGGTTGCAGCATTTCTCCATTCATGCATTGTTCCAGCCAATGGAAAAAAAAAGAAGAAGGAAGCAAAGATGAGTGAAGGCAAGAGAAAGAAGATAAAATAGATCTGTCCTTCCTTGCCACAAATAACCTAAATCTTAAAGTTTAAAACTCAACGTTGCACAACAATGTGAACATACTTAACACTATTGAACCATACACTTAAAAATGGTTAAGAAGGTACATTTTATATAATGTGTTCTTTCTTACCACAATTATGAAGCAAAACACAGCAAAAAAGCTCCGGCCAAAGAAAGAAAAATTTGAGGCTTGAACGAGGTATAGTGAAAGATATATAGAGTAAGTGTTAGAATATTCAGCAACACCATTTTTACTTCATAGACTCAATAGACTCAAATAATAGAACATTTAATACCTCATGTCAGATAAGTATAAAAATCCTGTAACAAAACACCAAGAACTACTGGTTGAAATATGTTTATAAAAACTCTCAAGATGTAAAAGCCAATGCTTATACACTGTTGATGGGAATGTAAATTAGTACAACCTCTATGGAAAACAGTATGGAGATTTCTCAAAGAACTAAAAATAGAATTACCATTTGATGCAGGAATCCCACTACTGAGTATCTATCCAAAGGAAAGGAAATCATTATATTGAAAAGACACACACACTTGTATGTTATCACAGTGAAGTTCACAATAACAACATCATGGAATCGATCTAAGTGTCTATCAAGAGGTGACTGGATAAAGAAAATGTAGTATATAAACACCATGGAATATAATGCGGCCATAAAAACAAAGGATTAAACCATGTCTTTTGCAGCCACATGGATGGAGCTGGGCGCCATTATTCTAAGCGAAATGACTCAGAAACAGAAAATCAAATACCACGTGTTCTCACTTAAAAATGGGAACTAACTAATAGGTACATATGGACATGCAGAAGGAAATAATAGACACAGAGGACTCCAAAAGTGGGTAGGATGGGAGAGAGGTGAGGGTTGAAAAATTATCTATTGGGAACAGCGTTCACTTTTTGAGTGATGGGTACAGTGGAAGCGCAAACCTCACCATTATGCAATATATCCATGTAACAAACCTGTACTATACCCTCTGAATCTATAAACATTTAAAAAATAAAAAATAAATCTCAAAATACATAGCTGAGCTTTCAAGAAGTATGTGAAATACTCTTAGACCAAAAAGAAGGAAGGAACTGAAAACTAGTTTATTAAGATGGCACTTATACCACTCCTTTCCTGGACACATTTGTCTGGCTCAGTTACAAAAAGGTCTGGATTTTAACAGTCTTCTGAGAGCAGAAGACATAGTCTTAAGCTCCCACAACGTCCCACATTGAAACGGAGCCTCTCATTTGAAATCAGCTTGCAAGGTGAGCTAGAAGAAAAAAGTCTGGACAGCAGAAAAGGAGGAGGATGAAGAAGGATTTGTCTGTCTTGGCATGGGACTTTTGAAGGGGTATTGTTAATTCCGTCTGAAATGTTGAAACCACAGCTATGCCCTCAAATTTAGGATTTGAATGTATACAGTCTGCATTACCTAGGAAACCCCAAGCCAAGATAGTAGCGTAATGTAGTGCCCGGTTAATTGCATCTAGGTTGCTAGAAAGAAGCACGCACATCCTTTCTAGAGGGAAACGTTAAAACAAGGACTCCTCGGAATTTCTGGAGATAAAGTCCCATCTAACAATTCACAACCCTAAAGCTGCAAAACATACACAGAAACAAGCCATCATGAACAAGGGCCAGGAGAGAAAACAAACAACAGAAATAGAGCCCTAGAAATTTTAGCTAATCGAAGTACTCGATAGAAGGGGGTTTATAAAGTGTGGTTAAAATACATGTTGATATTTTTAAAAACTGAACTGAAAACTTAAGAAAGGAAACAAGGCATTGTTAAAACAGATTTTTTAAAAAGAACCAGAACTTCTTAAAATAAAATTGATTATTGAGATGGAAAACTCAATGGTAACTTAAAGAGCAAATTCAACATACCCTACTAGAGAATTTGCGAACTGAAAGATCTAAATAAACAATCCAAAATGCAGGACAAAAAGGCCAAGTAGAAAACATAAGAGAAAAGTTGAAAGAAATGGAGGCTAGGAGGCAAAAAATGAAAGAGTTGGGGTAGCTCAAAATATTAATATTATACAAAACAAGCTTTAATGCAAAAAGCTTTAGGGACAAATAAATTAACTACATAAATGATAAATGGCTTTTTTTTTCTTTTTGGATATGGAGTCTTGCTCTGTTGCCCAGGCTGGAGTGCAGTGGTGCAATCTCAGCTTACTGCACCCTCCCCTGCCTCAGCCTTCCGAGTAGCTGGTACTACAGGCGCACACTGCCACGCCCAGCTAATTTTTTTGTATTTTTAGTAGAGATGGGGTTTCACCATTTTGCCCAGGCTGGTCTCAAACTCCTAAGCTTAGGCAATCCACGCGCCTTGGCCTCCCAAACTGCTAGGATTATAGGCATGAGCCACCATGCCCAGCCTCTTTTTTTTTTTTTTTTAAACCAAGGAGGGAAAAATGTTCTCCACCTAGAAATCAGTATTGAAGAATATTTTTAAGGATGATATATTCTGAAATGTAAAAACACATTTCTAAATAACTTATGAGCCAGAGAAAAAATCATGATTGCCGAGACCAGCTCGGCTGGGGAGACCCTAACCCAGCAGCACTAGAGAAATTAAAGACACACACACAGAAATATAGAGGTGTGAAGTGGGAAATCAGGGGTCTCACAGCCTTCAGAGCTGAGAACCTCGAACAGAGATTTACCCACGTGTTTATTAACAGCAAGCCAGTCATTAGCTTGCTGTAGATATTATAACTAAGATAACTTAGTTTCTGTAGATATTAAATTAACTAAAAGTATCCCTTATGGGAAATGAAGGGATGGGCCGAATTAAAGATATAGGTTGGGCTAGTTAACTGCAGCAGGAGCATGTCCTTCAGGCACAGATTGCTCATGCTATTGTTTGTGGTTTAAGAACGCCTGTAAGCAGCTTTCCGCCCTGGGCAGGCCAGGTGTTCCTTGCCCTCATTCCGGTAAACCCACAACCTTCAGTGTGGGCATTATGGCCATCATGAACATGTCACAGTGCTGCAGAGATTTTGTTTATGGCCAGTTATGGGGCCAGTTTATAGCCAGGTTTTGGGGGGCCTGTTCCCAACAATGATGAAGACTAGAAAGTAAATATGCAACAGACCCCAAAAATGGAATGTGTTTAGACGGTTTCAGCTGGTCCTAAGATGACAAAGCCCACATTTTCTTGTAAGGTAATATTCCGTGTAAGATTACCAAAGGAAGTCATTAACACAGATTTTACTATCCTAATTCCTCGCCTACATGTGGAATATAAAAGGATTGGCAATGGGAGATTAGAGGAAGAGAAGATGTTTTTGACACAGCTATTGCAGTGCCATGTCTCTCCTCCAGATAAACAAAAGGGGCTTCAGAGGGATCACCTGGAAATTTTGGTATGCATTCCCTAGAATTTGTGGGATATGGTGAACTATTTGACTCAAACTTTAGATATCTGAAGGGGAGGTACTATGGATGGCTAACTGCTGTGAAATGTAATAGGAAAGATTCACACTTTTGGGGCCACTTCACTCCCAGAGTTTACTGTTAGGAAAGGATGCACATTTCCTCTGGTGTAAATGTAGGTCATAGGTAAGTGAAAGCCAGCGGAACTATCAAGATGACCCCAGGAGGAGATCTGAACAGCCGGATGTCTAACGGAAAGTAGTGACTTTGAAGAACACAGAAAAGCACCCAAGAGAGAAAGACGCCCGAGGAGAACCTCTGCAATCTCACGGCAGTGCTGGTTAAATAAGACCTTTCCTGTTCCCTTTTTTTTTTTAGACAGAGTCTGCTCTGTCACCCAGGCTGGAGTGCAGTGGTGCCATCTCTGCTCACTGCAACCTCCGCCTTCCAGGTTCGAGCAGTTCTCCTGCTTCAGCTTACGAGCGTCTGGGACCACAGGCGAGCGCCACCACATCTGGCTAAGTTTTGTATTTTTAGTGGAGACGGGGTTTCACCATGTTGGCCAGTCTGGTCTCAAACTCCTGACCTCAAGTAATCCGCCCGCCTTGGCCTCCCAAAGTGCTGGGATTACAGGAGTGAGCCACCTCGCCTGGCCCTCGTTCCTTATTTTTATCTCTTTTTCCAAATCAACCCTAAAGAAGTTGGAAGCAGCTTAGAAAGTAGGAGAGGAAGGTGAGGCATAAATCATATAAAAGAAGCAATCACCCCCACGTTTTCCCCTGCCAACCACTTGCCTGTACCAAGAGTGAGCTCTGAAAGGAGAAGTCTTTAGGGTTGAACAAGTGTTGAAGTCTTAATTTTTTTTTCATTACATGGACTTTACCAAACGGACTTTTTGTTTGTCTCTTTTTAGTGGCTAGAAGTGACCCCAGGATTTTTTTTATTATCGAGAGACTAGAAGAATCATGAGACTTTTCCTAGTCGCCTTTCAAGAATATGAAGAAAAAAATGGTTCTCAAAGTGGGTTTGAATGAGTATTGTTCAAATAAATGAACTTATATTCATATTTCATCCCCTGAGTCCTGCTGTTTCAACATCCATTAGAACTGAATAATAATACTACATATCAAAGTTTGTGGGACATTGCTAAAGTGTAAAAAATGCTTATATTGAAAAAGAAGAAAAGCTTAAAATTAATTGTCTGTGCTTCCAACTTTAAAAAAGGACAACAAACTAATCCTAAAGAAACTAGAATAAAAGGAAAAAATAAAAAACAAGTTAAAGAGTAATTAAAAAAACACAATAGAGATGATCAACAAAGCCAAAAGTTGATTCTTTGAAAAAGATTAATGAAGTAGGCAAACCACTGGTAAAATGAATCAAGAAAAGTAGAGAAAAAACTCAAACATTAGGAATGAAAAATAGGGCAATGTTAAAGAGAATTCAAATATTAGAAAAATATGGGAGTATACTAAAAATGATTTCATGCCAAAGTGTTTAAATGTACACTGCCTTAAAAAATATATTAAAAAGGGGCCAGACACTGTGGCTCACACCTGTAATCCCAGCACTTTGGGAGGCTGAGGTGGACGGATCACAAGGTCAAGAGATCAAGACCATCCTGGCTAACACGGTGAAACCCTGTCTCTACTAAAAATACAAAACATTAGCTGGGCGTGGTGGCACGTGCCTGTAGTCTCAGCTACTCAGGAGGCTGAGGCAGGAGAATCGCTTGAACTGGCAAGGAAGAGGTTGCAGTGAGCCGAGATGGTACCACTGGACTCTAGCCTGGGTGACAGAGCGAGACTCCGCCAAAAAAAAAAAAAAAAACCTAAAAGGAAAAGAAGCACTGAAGAAATCTATAACCACTGGAGAAGCTTGAGTCAGTAGTTGATAATGTCCCTCCGAGAAAAGACCAGACATAAGTGACTTACAGGAAAGTTCTGCCAAATGTCGAAGGGAATAGATAAATATCACATAAACTCTTCCGGAGAATACAAGAAAAGGAACACTCCCCCCAACTTATTTTATAAACTTGGTTAAATCTTGATAGCAAAATTTAATAAGGACACCATGACACATGAAATCATAAGCAAATTTTACTTATAGTTATATACAAAAATTCTAAACAAAATATTGGACAACTAAATCTAATTTTGAATAATACTAGCAAGACATAATAATAATAATAATAATAATGCATCATGACCAAGTTGGGTTTATCTCAGGAATGCAAATGTAGTTTAAAAGTGGAAAATCTAGTAGTGACATTTAACACTCTAAGAAATAAAGAAGAAAAATTATGTCATCTCAATGAACCAAAAAATTTTCTAAAATCCAACCAAATATTGGCAAAAAAGTAATAAAGGGCTGGGCGTGGTGGCTTACGCCTGTAATCCCAGCACTTTGGGAGGCCGAGGCGGGCGGATCATGAGGTTAGGAGATCGAGACCATCCTGGCTAACACGGTGAAACCCCGTCTCTACTAAAAATACAAAAAATTAGCCAGGCGTCATGGAGGGCGTCTGTAGTCCCAGCTACTCGGGAGGCTGAGGCAGGAGAATGGCGTGAACCTGGGAGGCGGAGCTTGCAGTGAGCTGAGATGGCGCCACTGCACTCCAGCCTGGGTGACAGCGAGATTGCATCTCAAAAAAAAAAAAAAGCAATAAAGGAAAATTCCTTAACTTATTAAGTTAAGGAATAAAGACACTCTTTATTAAAGAGTATCTATTCGAAACCTGCAACAAGCATGATAGTTAATGATGAAATGTTAGATGAAATGTTAGAAATGATGAAATGTTAATGACAATAGATTAAAACCATAAACACAATGATGTCTGTTATCACTACTTCTACTCATCATTGATCTTAACCATTTCAATAATAAAAGATACTATATGTAAATTATAGATATTGAGAAGGGAGACTCAAAAGCGCTACTATTCACAAACAATATTATTATTCACACAAAAAGCAAGAGAATATGCAAATAAATCTTTAGAATAAGAGAATTCAACATAGTTTGAGGATACAAGTGCAATTTATAAAAATCAACTATTTCTGTAGCTAAACAAGTTAGAAAATATAATTTTTAAAATGTATTTTTACAGTAGCAACCAATAATATATAAGAATAGCTAACAATTATCTAAAAATGTGTGCAAGTTGCTTATAGAGACAATAATAAAACCATATTGTAAACTTACATGGAAGGAGAGATATACCATGTTCATGGTATAAAAAATAATAAAGATGTCAGTTTTTCCAAAATCATTCATAGTGCAATTCCTTGCCAAATTACTGGCAGGTTTTTTCCCCTGGACCTTGACGAGAGGATTGTAAAATTTATATGCAAGTGTGAAGTGCCAAGAATGATCAAGGCAATTTTGATAAAACATCAAAAAGGAAAAGAGGAATAAATGGTGATGGAACTTTTTTTCACAGAGGAGAGAAATAGGGTTGAACTTCTTATCCTATACACAAAGTTAAATTCAAAGTAAATTAAAAGCAAAATGTAAAATGCAAAACTTTTAGAAAACTTTAAAATTAGAAAAAATGTAAAAACCAATCCAACAAGTTATTTTTACACATTCAAATTTTCCAGTCATCCCCGCACAGCTGTCAAGTATCAAATGAGTGGTAAAGTACTAGAATGATAAAAGAAGTGGTATAGTTATGCCACTTGTAGGACTACTTATAAAGCAGCTGCCTTCCTAGACATGCTTTTATCCTAACTCTTTAAATGAATAGGATTGTATTATATTGTTTACATGTCAAAAT